TTTATATCTCGAACCAACAAAAAACACTCCAGAAAACCCCTATAAGGGACCACTTAAGCTTCAGAGTTCAGGATTTAGACCTTAAACTCCTCCTATAGGAACAATAAAAGGTTTAGCCCTCAAGGGAGCACTTCAGCACTTTTGGCCCTCTATAAGGACTCTTTTTTTTTCCTTCGTCCCTCAAGGGACCACTCTGGAGTTCCGTTATTAGCTTTTAGGCTAGCAGACTGCCGAGGAAGTCTGTGAATGAACTTGAAGTGAGAAAAATGTTCAGACCACTTTAGGGACCACTTAGAAATCACATTTTGAGCTCCTATGGGGATCAGATGAATTTTAACCCTCTAGGGAGCACTATTCTGTCAAATCTAGGGGCTTTTCCCCTCTAGCGACCACTCTGGAGTTCATAGATTCTTCAAGTAAAAAAGTTGATTTTATTACTTTTTTCTAAAATTGTTTATAAAATCCCTAGTTTTAGCCTTTTTTCCCCAATTTTGCGTCACATTTTCGAGGAATTGATTTGAATACTCGTCACTGAATGAATAATGAATGGATTTGTACGACATCCGAGTCTCCTAATAACCTTTTCCGGACCAAAATACCTTCCTTTACACCCTTTTTTGCGAATAAATTAACGTCTCAAGTGTACCTTCGAAGTTCCGTTCTCGCAAAGATCAAGAAAAGACGGAATTTCTCTCTTTTTTCTTTATTTTCGTGATTTTTGGATGGGCCGATGCGAATCAGCAAAGGAAAAACAGATTGGGAGTTCAGATTAACAAAGAATCAGTGATGAGAAGTTTGAGATCGATGGCGACAATGATTTTTGGAAAAGGAATGGTGATTTTGAGATTTTTTTCGAGTCTGATTTTAATAATTTTTTTGATTAAAAAATTTTTTTAAAAAAAGTTTTTTTGATTTAAAAAAAGATTTAAAAAAATTTTTTTAAGGCTCAATTTTTCATTTTTTTCAATTCGGTTTTTAATGAAAAATTTGTATTCTGAACTATAATTTGGGCTTATTTTTGATTTCAATCTTAGCCTCTGATCGGAATTTGATCTGAAAAAAGGTTCAGTACAGAAGAAAACCGATTTTTTGAGAAGGAATGGTGATTTTGAGGTTTTTCGAGTCATAGAGGCGTTTTTTAAAATTTTTTTGGGCTCGATTTTCATTTTTCAAGTCGGTTTCATTGAAAATTTGGATTCTTAACTGAATTTTTGGGCTTATTTTCAACTTCTTTTTGATCATTGGATCCGAAATTAATCTGAAAAAAAGGTTGAAAAACGAAAAACGAATTTTTTTGAAGAGGAAGGTCGATTTTGAGCTTTTTCGAGTCATTAAGGCGTTTTTTTAAAAAAATATTTTTTTAGGTTCGATTTTCATTTTCCAATTCGAAGTTTTAGTGAAAATTTGGACTTTTTGACCTAAAGTTGATCGGAATTTGGGCTGATTTTCCCGAAATTTTCATTTTTCGGCTGAAGTTCCAGTAAAAAGTTGAATTTAAGACCGTAATTTAAGATTATTTTCCTGAATATAGGTACGATTGGAGCGTATGATCGAAGTTTCACTGAAAATAAGGTTTTTTGATTTTACGTTGATCGAAATGTGGTAGTATTTTCGCAAATATGGGGCTTATTTTTCCGAAATTAACTTTAATTTGAGTGATTTGATCTGAAATTTATCTGGAATCAGGTCTGAATTTACCTTAATTTGACCTAAAATTAGTCTAAATTCATGATTTTAATAGCTAGTTCACTCAATTTCGAGTTTCATTTGTTTTATTTTCACTTGTAGATCAAAAAAAAAATCTGATTTGTACCTATACTCCTAAATTCACTTGAATTTTGAGCTAAAATCTCGATTTTTTTAAAAATCTATTTGAAGTTTGACCAAAAAGTGCTCTTCAAAAGAGCAAAAAGACCCGGAAAAACACTGAAAACGACTTTTCGTCTCGAGACCTTTATCAAAACTTCCCATGCCCCTTTAATCCCCAAGTGAACATATTTCGCTCTTCAAAAAACAGCATCAAATGTCCCATCGATCAAATCTTCTCTCTCAAAATAGCAAATGGTGTGGTCAAAGTCTCCTTCCAGCCAACGTGGAGTGATAGTTGCACCCATTTTATCAGTTATCACTTTGATAAGACGGCAATAAATGTACCCACGCAGTACTTCGGACCATTGGAAGTCGTTTCGTTGAAATTTCCAGGTCACTTCGGACCCTCTTTTATCATTTATCATTCCGGGCTTTTCCGTGACGTCATCGATTGCGTTTTGCATCATGTCGTTGTGAAATGCGGAATTCACATGTTTGTAAGCAACTTTTTGAAGTTCCTCAAGCTTAAAAGTCAGAAATCAAGCACAAAATGCACAAAATGACCAATTTCGAAACTGTTTTTCGTGATTTTTAGGATTTTTTTGATTGCAAAATACTTTGAGAGGTCATATTTCTCTTACTTTAAGGTCTTGTAGATGGTTTCAGAGATGATTTTGAGGTTCCGATGATTTTTATATTTTCATTCGCATTTGGAATGGCTCAAAACCTAGAAAACCGACTTCCCAATCGATATATAGATTCCCGATGCGAAAAGGCGCAAGTAGTTTCGAGTCGGTTGCACTCAACCAAAAAAAGCCGCGACGCCCTCGCCATTCCAAATGCGGCCATGTATTTTCAATTTGAGCTGAAGATTTTTTTGAATTTTTCAGAAAATTGCCCAAATTTGAATATTTTGTAATTATAATCATTTTCTGTATTTTCCAGCCTTAAAACGTCTCCAGTTCCAAATTTATTTCTCAAAATGCTATAACTTTTTTTTCACGTTTTGATTTTTTCTATATCTTCAGAGCTGAAATTAACCCTATTTTTAGAGGATAATTGACCTTCTTTTTCTTAAAGAAATCAGTTTCAAAGGAGGAATAGTAGAAATACAGTTCAAGAAAAGAAATCAAACTTTGGAGATCAGTTCAAAGTTTCATATCCAATACAAATGAGAATTTGAGTTCGAAAGATGTTCGTTACCATAAAAAGGGAAGTTTTTTTAATGTTTTTGGGCTAAGGATATTGGAATATTAATGATCATTTTGAATGCTTCAGGTCTCTGAAATCAACAAGAAGTTTTTAAATTTCATATAGCTTTGAACTGAAATTTGCACCAAGATTATGATTTCAAAGAAGTTTTTCCTTCAAAAAATGGTTCAAATTTCCCTTTGTCTGTTACTTTTGCGATCTGCTTCCATTGAGGATCTTTAATAAATCATGAAGTCCATGAAAAATTCAAATTTTCAAGATCTTAGAAGGGAATAAACCACAAGAATTTCTCCTTTTTTTTTAAATTTTCGAACTGAAATTCGACTTGAAATTCAGATTTTTGAGAGATTTTTTCACTTTATCTATAATTTCTTTCAATCTGATTTCTTCTGACAATTTTAAAAAAATCATAAACTTCAAAATTTTACTTCTGCAAGTCCCTATAAGGAAATAGGACCATTACTTCCCTTTGTCTTTTTCCTAGGGTATTCCCCGTCGAATCACGGTCATAAATGTCAAAATTCTTCACGTTTCGACGAAATACTGATAAGATTATCATTCGTCGTGCCATCTTGCAAAAAAAAAAAAACGAAATTCGGCAAAAATTTGAATTTTGCGGATTGAAAGGAAAAATTGAATTTTGGAACAGCTGAACTTCAATTTTTTCATTTATATTTGTACTGAGAAGGTTTTTAGTGGCCCCTTTAGGGTTTTGACGTATTAGTGGCCACTATAGTGATCGAATTAGGGGCTACTTAAGGGTTTAAAAGTTAGTGGCCTCTTTTAAAATCTACTAGACCACTAAACCACTATAGTGGCCACTAAAACGCGAAATAGTGGCTTCTATAGAGGTGCTTTTAGTGGCCACTTTAGGGTTCTCTCCAAGAAGTCTTTGAGGATTGAGGAACCTCTTAAGTGGTCACTAGAGATTTTTTTTTCAGAAGTTCAAAAATCATCTGCAATTGGACCTATGGTTTTTAAATTACCCAAATTCTGACTTTCAATGCCCAACTTTTTGACAATTTATTCAAAATTTGACCAAAAAGAATTTTTTGAAAGAGTAGAATGACCTGAAAAACGCTAAAAATGACTATTCGTCTCGAGACCTTTATCAAAAAATACCTATGCTCCTTTAATCCCTCAAGGGTTTTTGAAAAATTTTTCACCTTCAAAAAATTCAAATATTATCAAAATTCCGACAAAAAACATGTTTATCGAAATTATAGTCACATCGGAAAAATTGTAGCCTTTGCATTTTGTAGCCATCCCACTGTATGACATTTGTAGGATGGGCTCGTTCTTTGTTCTTCGCAAAAAAGGAAGTTTTTCCCCATTTTCTGGACAAGGTTATGGTAGGTAGACGTGATTTTTTGAACGAAACTAGTATGGGAAAAAAATTTCTTTTTTACAATTTTCCCAGAAGTTATTAAACTACAGACGTTTTTTTTTGTTCTTTTGTTTATATCTATTTTTGTCACATTTATCTTGTTTATTGGTTAGAATCCAAATTTGGCAGCTACAAAATGCAAACTTGATTTTTGCAAAAAAATTTGGGGTTCTCGGACAATTTCTCGAGTTACAGTATTTTGTAGGGTTACGGTAGAAGGGTTCGAAAAATTTTTCTTAACGAAAAAAATCATCGAATAATAATTTTTTTAAAAAAATGGATTTTTGATCCTGTCAACTCCCACATCTCGCTTTTTGCTCATTATTGCTCATATTAGCTCTGAAAAAAAGTCCAAACCAGTAAATTTTTTTATCGCTTTTTTTCCATATCTCTTTCTCTTTATTTTGATGATCTTGAATTTTAAAAAAATATCTCCCACTTTATTATTAATTTTTGCAGAAAAAACACGCATCCGATGTTTATTAACAGAAAAAGGAAAGCTTTAAAAAAATATGTTTGGAATAGAATCGAAATTCGAAAAAACATTTGAAATTCTTTTAAAAGTTGAGAAATATCTTGTTTCAAATTAAAATCAAGGCTGGAAAAAAGTGTCAAGCCAGGAGACGTGCGGCTGACTGCAGTCGAAGGTCGAATTATCCGGGTAGAAGGAATATCTGTAGGTGGAATCGTTGAACGGTAGTTCCCGTCCATCTTCTGGATCCAAAGTGTGGGGCCAGTCGATTAGGGCGCAGTAGGTCTGAAAAAACTTTTCTGATGAGTCAAAATATCTATTTTGGTTAATTTCTAATTTCTGTTTTCTGAAAAAAAAAAGCCGAGAAAGTGCGCCCCATGGCTAAGTGAAACTTTTTCTTCACATTCTTTCTCGTCCCAGACCAGAAGCAGACCTGTTAGGGCATTGCTAGTGACCACTTTAGTAGCTTTAGCCCCCTTAATTGGTCACTAGAATCGCCCGGAAACGTCCAGAGCACTTTTTCACCTTTTTTAAACCTCAATAATGATCTCACAATCCTAGAGACCTTTTGAAGCATCTGACGCCACTAAAGTGGTCACTAGAAACGCTCCGAAACGGCCTGCTTAAGTTATGGAGATCCATGATGTCGGATAGTAAAAATTTATCCATGGAGCAGACTTTCATTTGTCAGATCTTTTCCTCTCGGTTTTTTCCTTTTTTTGCTCATTGTACCGCGATTTTCAAAAAATTTAAGAGTTATCGGAAAAAATAGACTTACGTTAGTTCCTTGACAATAAACGGTGACTAGAATACAGCCGACTTGAACACACTTTGCGAAGCAATTATCCATGCTTCTATTGTTGAAAGGTGGGTTGATTGGAATACCCTGGACTTTATCGATTTTTCAAGAAAAAAATACTCAGAGAAGCCAGAATGGCCCCTGGAGGGGCAAAATTGGTGGTTCCACTCTAGGGGCCACTCTGACGCGAGGTGATAGATCAGTGGTGGTCTGAAGAGACGCAAGACAAGCAGAGAATCTCTCTTTCTCTGCCGTCTCTTCAGAAATGCTGAATCTTACAGTTTTGAGGACATGTCTGCCGATTTTTCAAGAAAAAAATACTCAGAGAAGCCAGAGTGGCCCCTGGAGGGGCAAAATTGGTGGTTCCACTCTAGGGGCCACTCTGGCGTTTTTGACTAGGGAAGGTGAGAGATAATGGCGGCCTGAAGAGACGCCAGACAGGCAAAGGATCTCTCTTTCTCTGCCGTCTCTTCAGAAACTCTAAATCTCACAGTTTTGAGGACATGTCTGCTGGCCAAATCGTACGGCTTTTTGATCGTGTAGAATCGAACTTGGGTGATCTCGGCCGAGTAGAACTGCAAGAAATGATTTATCATCTTTTTGTTCATTAACTGTCTAGTTTCAGTATCTCAGGAACGTCGAGAGTGGCCCCTATAGGGTTAAGGAGAAAAATCAGCCCCTATAGGGGCGAAAAAGGGCTCCCTACAGTGGTAATGGTATTCTTTATATGGGTTCAGGGTCCGACCACTAAGTCACCAAAGCTTAAGTGGTCCCTCTAGGGAACTTTTAAAGGCCCTTTGTCCCTATAGGGGCCACTTCGGCGTTCCTAAGTTTCAAAGATCCATTCGATATCGAAGTTACGTGAGATTAATAAATAAAACCTCTGAAAAAGCAATGTGAAGGAATAAAACGGCCGCGCGGAACATTTTCTCGCAGAAAAATGATCGAAAAAAAAGGAACATGTTCATTTTTCTGTTGCTTAGCAAATATGTCCGTGATGACATGAATCGCTTCCAATGAGATGCCAAAAAATGAAATAAAAGACGGTTTTAAGGAAATTTCGAGCTCATTAGGCCATTCCATGTGCGGTACCCAGCTCTGTTTTTAAATTCCGGCGTTGACCAACCTTGCTGACAATATCAAAGACATTTCTCGACCAAACTTTTTTGAAATTCCCATTCGAATTAGCGCCAGCCGTTTCTGGTCGGGCGAATTCATTGAGCCATTCCATGCGCGGTACTAACTTCTGTTTTTCTTCCATTTTTCAGCGCTGACCAATCCTGACATCATCAAAGACATTTCTCGACCGAAATTCTTCGAAAAACCCATTCAAATGGCGCAAGTCGTTTCTGGTCGGGCGCGCTCATTGAGCCGTTCTGTGTACTTTGAATTTCCGGCGCTTACCAATCCTGACATCATCAAAGACACTTTTCGACCGAAATTCTTCGAAAATTTATGCAGTTCATCAAACCATGCCAATTTCGCTGAACTCTCTTTGTTCTCCGCTTTTTTGCCCCCCTCTTTTGTTTTGCTTTCTCGGTTCGATTTTTATCAATCGCCGTTTTTCCTTCGCCTAAGTTATGGGCAACTGATAGGCGACGACACTTTTCCCATGTTTTCTTCTTGATAAAGGCAATATGTTCCGAGAAACATATAGTCTAGTGGTAGAACTGTTTGATTGGAGAACGCGAATTCAAAATTTCAGTTCCTGTTCGAATGAAACTGCGGTTTTCAATGATGGTGTAGTTTGCGAATGATTAGAGTTCAGCTACAGATTCTTGCAAAATTGATGACGACTTTTTTCAGCCCATGCGTAGATATATTATCAATGGAGCGCATTTCCTATGGAGAAAATAGCCCATAATCATTTTTCCTGCATTATTAGCCATGGAGCGCCTTTTCACGGAAGGAAAAGCCGATATCAGCTCCTATTCGAAGGAAACTACGGTTTTCAATGATGGTGTAGTTTGCGAATGATTAGAGTTCAGCTACAGATTCTTGCAAAATTGATGACGACTTTTTTCAGCCCATGCGTAGATATATTATCAATGGAGCGCATTTCCTATGGAGAAAATAGCCCATAATCATTTTTCCTGCATTATTAGCCATGGAGCGCCTTTTCACGGAAGGAAAAGCCGATATCAGCTCCTATTCGAAGGAAACTACGGTTTTCAATGATGGTGTAGTTTGCGAATGATTAGAGTTCAGCTACAGATTCTTGCAAAATTGATGACGACTTTTTTCAGCCCATGCGTAGATATATTATCAATGGAGCGCATTTCCTATGGAGAAAATAGCCCATAATCATTTTTTTCCTGCATTATTAGCCATGGAGCGCCTTTTTCACGGAAGGAAAAAGCCGATATCAGCTCCTATTCGAAGGAAACTACGGTTTTCAATGATGGTGTAGTTTGCGAATGATTAGAGTTCAGCTACAGATTCTTGCAAAAATTGATGACGACTTTTTTTCAGCCCATGCGTAGATATATTATCAATGGAGCGCATTTCCTATGGAGAAAAATAGCCCATAATCATTTTTTTCCTGCATTATTAGCCATGGAGCGCCTTTTTCACGGAAGGAAAAAGCCGATATCAGCTCCTATTCGAAGGAAACTACGGTTTTTCAATGATGGTGTAGTTTGCGAATGATTAGAGTTCAGCTACAGATTCTTGCAAAAATTGATGACGACTTTTTTTCAGCCCATGCGTAGATATATTATCAATGGAGCGCATTTCCTATGGAGAAAATAGCCCATAATCATTTTTCCTGCATTATTAGCCATGGAGCGCCTTTTCACGGAAGGAAAAGCCGATATCAGCTCCTATTCGAAGGAAACTACGGTTTTCAATGATGGTGTAGTTTGCGAATGATTAGAGTTCAGCTACAGATTCTTGCAAAATTGATGACGACTTTTTTCAGCCCCTGCGTAGATATATTATCAATGGAGCGCCATTTTCACGGAAAAAATAGCCAATAATTAATTCATCCCCCCCTTTTTTTTTAGCCATAGAGCGCACTTTTTCACGGAAGAAAGAGCGAAAATCAGTTTCTTTTCGTATAAGGCAGGTTCCAAGGAAGAAAGAGCCGATTTTTGAGTTTTTTCATCTTCGAGAACCAGCTGAAATTCAATATTTTCTCCGTGGAACGAACTTGCAGATCTTTCATAATTTCTGGTCTTTTTAAAAAAATTCTTTGAAACAAAAAAATTTTTTTCTTAAAAAAATTTTTGTCATGGAGCGAATTTTGACTCATAAAATAGCCACTCTGAGACTTTTTTTATCCGTGGGGCGAACTTGCAGATATTTTTTTCTAGGTAACGAATTTTCGAAAAAGTATTCCAAGTTTTTTTAGTTTTTTTAAATTTTTTTCGGTTTTTTTCTCTTACAGATTGAGACATAGAAACATGAAATAAATTCGAAAGCTTTCAGGATTTTTCTCAAAAAAGGGAAAAATGATGATTTATTGAATCCAAGGTTTTAATTTCTTTTCTTTTTTTTATTTTACTAACGGAGACAGGGAAACATCGAATAAGTCTGAAAACTCTTAGAATTTCCTATCGAACAGTAATTTATTGAGTTCAGCGAGGAGGGATAACACTGCAGACTTGGCAATTTTTTCACGGTCCAAAAACGTTCCAAGGCAATTAGTCTAGTCTCTTTTCCGAGGCTTCAGTTTAGCGAATTGGGCGACCAGGTCCTCCCTTATCAGATAATCAATTGGATAGTTCCAAGAGTTCCGGAACGCTTTTTCCAAAAAGAAGCTTCGGTTCGGCGAGTAAATTCCAAGTTTGCAAGGTCGGAAAACGGAAAATTGTGGAGAAAGTTTGGTTACCGGTCGATGATTCAGTCGAAGATTAGGTTATTTCGAAAAAAAAAATGAGTCAGAGGTTAGATTTGGAATGAATTTTGTAGGAAAACTTCAAAAAATGAGAAGAACTGAATGAAATTTTTTTGAAAAAAATATAATGAAAAAAAGGGTTGTTTTGGAGGTTTTTCAATCAATTTTCCTAAAAAGTAGAATGTTAATTAAGTGATTGAAGTCTGAATTTTCAAATTATACCCGGAGAATTTCAATATTTTAGCCTTTTTCTAGAAGTTTTTTTGGATCGCAAAAAAATTGATTTTTTTAGATAAATTTTTTTCTTTTTCACCAGATTCCTGTTTCAAAGTTTTTTTTAAAAAATACTTTTGATATTATTCGGAGCCGCAAGTGGAATGGCTCTATGCCAAACGGGTGCAAAACGATTTTTCATTGCGCCGGACCAGAAACGACTTGCGCCAATTTGAATTGATTTCTTGAAACACACATTTTCGCATCTCTATAGTGACCCCTTGGACCTTGACCCCTATAGGGACCCCTAAGACAGCGTTTAGAGAGAGCTTAGAGGTCCCTATAGGGGTACCTTCAAAAATTTCTCAGACGCGAAGCTTTAAACCATTCCAAATGCGGCCAAGATTTTTGTTTTATTCTTCAAGAAAATTCTAAAAAAAAAATCCCGAAGAACTACTGTACTTTCCCTACAAGTTTCAATTTTTCAAAAGGAAGATTTTTAGAAATAGACTGTCTAATCAATGGTTTCACAACGAAAATTCCTTTCCCTTAAATTATACGGTAGTTTGAGACGACCCAAAACTAGCATTTAACACTAATTTCCATGTACAAAACTTCCTTTCAAGATCAAAGTGGCTACAACTTTTTTCCTATTTTGGAACTTCCCTTTTTTGTTGTGATAAACAAGGTCGCCCTCTGAATTTGCGGCGATGATGTGAGAAAAAGTCGTAGCGAAACTAGAGTTTCCCAACTGAATGACAATAAATAGTTTGAACCCCAACGAGGCCACCTACGTACTTGGTCTCTTTCAAAAGTGTCATCATTCAACCTTTAAAGGGCTTCCCGAGAGATCTAAAGATCGGAGAGCAGTGGTAGAGATTAGAAGCGTCAATTTTGGTACCAGGGTTCGGTTCCTCCCCCCGCTTTTTGCAGACTTCCAGCTTAATTCGCTTTTGCTATGTTCAAAATTTTTCATCATTCAATATTCAAACTGTTTCGTGTGTTTGACGGAGACCTGAAGATCTTAGAGCAGTGCGAGAGTATTAGTTCGCCAATTTCAGTACCAGGGTTCGGTTCCTCCCCACGTTTTTGACAGATTTTGAGCTTAAATCGACTACGAGTTCATTTTGATACTTTTGGAGAATCTCTGTGTAGGTTTTTGCAGTTTTTGAAGATCAAAATACCCTAGAGCAGTGGTAGAGATTAAATTCGCCAGTTTTGGTACCAGGGTTCGGATCCTCACCGCGTTTTTGAAGGATTTTGACCTCGGTTTCATTGAAAAGTCTTTTGCCTTGTTCAAAATTTGTCATCATTCAATATTCAAACTGTTTCTTGTGTTTGACGGAGACCTAAGATCGTAGAGCAGTGGTAGAGCTTTAGTTCGCCAATTTTGGTACCAGGGTTCGGTTCCTCCCCGCGTTTTTTGGAGAATTTCGACCTCAGCTTCATTAAAAAAACCTTTCGCTTTGTTCAAAAGAGTCACCACTTAATCTTCAAAACGTTTTTCTAGAGACCTAATGATCGTAAAGCAATGGTAGAGCTTTAGTTCGCCGATTTTTGGTACCAGGGTTCGGTTCCTCCCCCCGCTTTTTGCAGACTTCCAGCTTAATTCGCTTTTGCTATGTTCAAAATTTTTCCTCATTCAATATTCAAACTGTTTCTTGCGTTTGACGGAGACTTGAAAGTCGTAGAGCAGTGGTAGAGCTTTGAACCGCCAATTTGGGTACCAGCGTTCGGATCCTCATCGCGTTTTTGAAGATTTCGAGATCAGTCTGAAGTCCAAACTTTTTCATATTTTTTTAAAATGATTTTAAAACATTTCTAAGGCTTCATTCTACCAATTTTGGTACCAAGGTTCAGTCCCTCTCCACGTTTCGAATGATTTTTGAAACCAAAAAAAATTTTTTTGGATTTTCTTTTTGAGAAAAATCGGTCCCTAAAAAAATTCCAGTCCATTTTGCGTGAAACTGATGTTTTGAATTTGTTTTTGGTTAGTTTATTTTTACTGTTTGATGACGTAAATGCTATCGTAAAAAACAAATTTAGCGAGGAAATCGTGTTTTTTGAGGTTCAAAACGTTCCTGAACTGTAATTTTCAAGGATTTTTTTTGGCGAACTCGGGAAAATTTTGCATATTTTTTTCCTGTGAGGTCATTTCTGAAGTTTGATGTTTATTTTCGCGCGAAATTCCAAGTTTAGCGATGGGGCGA